TGTTAAGAGTTACCTGGGCCTCAATTCTGCTATTTTATGTTCACGCTAAGCCAGTGTCATACCACTGACACGCTATTGAGACGCCATCGAGTGGCCATTGGCATCGGTATAAATATCGGTAGTCTACACTAACTCAGTGTCTTTACAGTGGCGATGGAATGGCAGTGGCTCATCAGTGGTGATATCAAAAAGATTGCCATATTTGGAAAAATAAAAAAATCATTTCCTTATAATTGATGAGTGGATAAGTGGATAAAATATATACGTTTATGGTCATTATACTGCTGCTGGGGCTCGTAGCGTTATAATAATAATCTCACACACGACCGTCTGATCCCAAACTAGGCAAAGCCTGTACTATGGTAACCAGACTCCTGATAAACATACTTATATATTTCTAAATACGTACACATTATAGATAAATTACACCACGATCGTGCTCATCACACAAATATTTGTCCTGGGTGGGAATCGAACCCACGACCTCCGGCTTACCAGTCAGGGTCACTAACCACTGGACCAACAGGCCCGTTATGTAAACTGATGTAACACAGCCTAGTCTTCTTCGACCTACTGTATCCAATCAGACTGGTGGTTACAGAGATTACCAGAAGGGCGATTATATATATGTACTATACCTACGTATAAATTAAAATCTATACAAATAAATAAAATTGGAGTGTCTGTTTGTAATATTAAAATAACTGCTTTTTACTAAATGCATATGTATGTTTACACGGTACATATGCTAAAATAACATTTTTGTCTGTCTGTCTGTTCCGGGTAATCTCTGGAACGGCTAGACCGATTTCGACGGGACTTTCACTGGCAGATAGCTGATGACATAAGGAGTAACTTAGTTTACTTTTTTTAGACTAGCTTCGCCCCGCGGCGTTGCCCGCGGTTATAACAACAAACGCGGGTAACACCGCGGGTCTCAGCTAGTTATAAATATGTTTATTTAATGATAACTGTTTGCGTATGAGCCAATGTCTATTTGCACAAATCGAGGCGTAGCTGACACAAGTAACGTTTTAAAATATCTTTAATAAACAAAGAATTAACAAATATTAATCCGATGGATTGTTGTGCAAATATTAAATGGCGGGCGGGCGCTTTACGCTCGGAAGATAGGGGTTGAAGTTATTTTAGACGTTTTATTTACAAATCAACTATAATGACTGGGATTATTTATTTAACTTCCATATGGATTATAAATAAGCAAGTTTGAAAAAGTATCCCCGATTTTGACTACTGGTCAGTAGTCAAAATCAGTGTGTGTGTGATGCATACTTTTTTATGGTTTATCTGACAAATGAGCAACCAGGTCACCTAATGCAAATTAAGAGACAACTGCGTTATCGCCTTGCACTGTAGCTTCACTCTACATTCTCTAATATATATACTTATATTATGGAGAGTGCTTCGAGAAATTATTCCGACTAATACCAGCTGCAACTTTCCGCCATCGTTCCAGACGGCAACATTTTCATCCTCATCACTTAAATCATTTGCGCTCCACCACTGTGCGCTTTTTAATACACTTTTTGCCTCGCACAACCAATCTGTAGGACAAGTTATCGCCTGCGGTATTTGCGGTATATACTCCTTACTAAAGGGCCGACAACGCGTTTGTGACTCCTAAGTTGCAGGCGTTCTTGGGCTGCGGTAGTCATTTTAGATCAGGTGACGTGTCTGCTCATCTGTCCCCTCTTCTATAAAAAAAACACCCTTTCATTAGCACCCAGTAGCTTCTCTTACTCGGTGTAAAGCAAACAGAGAAATGCTTAACAAAGGTTTTCTGTCACACTATGGTATCACTCCGGTCAGTCAGCCCATATCTATCGAATCGCTCTCTTTCGTATGAAACCAAATCGAAAGTTTCTGCTTCCGTAACTATCTACTGGCAATTAGAAGTACAATGCCCTCAATAGCAGTCCAAAGACCGCTATCACCTGTAAAAACACATCACCCTGATTCCTGTTACCGACATTCACTCACGTAAAATTTTCTTTAGCCGCCATCTTAATTTTGCATCTGTCAAATCAGTGTCACTGTCAAAATTCATGTTCATCTTTGGAATATGATTCAAAATTGTACAGCAACCGCTTAGTGATTTGTATTTAAGATTTTTATTCAATATTTTTATAAGTTACTAAATAAATGAATCGTATTGATGCGCTGTCATGGCGTGCATCTGTGTTTACTCAACGCTCCGTCGGATACAGAGTCTTCGGTACAATATTGTGCGACAATCGGCCATTGTGGTCGTATGCGATGGGAAATGACAAATCATTGACATGCTTCTTAATGAAGCCATGACGAAATAGACTTTTATCATAATTCTAACGGTACTTTTCATAAAACTGTGGCGTAATACCGAAATTTATAAATTTAGCTTTTTTATGGTGTTTATAGTACAAGTGCTCATAATATACCTAATGCCGTGTGTAGGTAAAGTGTAAAAAAACATGCTATTTTACATCTGAGTAGGTAGATATGTACCTTTAATTGTTTAGTTTCGGATAATTTGGCGGTAATCTTATGTAGTTTCCCTATAACAGAAGAATAAAAATAAAATCTACATATATTTAATTTATATACATAATTGTCATCATCATCATCAGCCTTTACAAGTCCACTGTTGGACATAGGCCTCTATTTAGAAAGGAGGTTTTGGCCTACTATATCAAGCTGCCCAGACGGGTTGGTATAGGGTTTGTTTCAAATTTTCCTTCTCTTTGCAGTGCTGTTGTCCTGCGTAGTTTACTCCTTTAGTCGGCTCTTACGACACCCATGGGATGAATAGGAGTGGTTGCACTCTGGTATTCCGAATCCGTCACCAAAGGGCCATCATTGTACTGCACCGCAAAAACGTAGTGTCAATCGGTGTTATCACATATACATAGAACTCAAGAAAACTAAATACTTAATAAATACATGTGACGCAAGTAGTTTTAATCCCAAGATATAAAATATTGAGATTCATAATAACCACATACTAAAGTCCCGAACACACACGAGAAAACGTTCCAAATACCAAAAGCCACACTCATCGTTGGTAAAAATCACTGCAGCAAATGAAGAGCTAAACAAACAAGAGTGCAGCTTTATTTATTATAATTGTCGTTCGATATTCCAAGTCATGGTTCAGAGAAACGGAACACCTACGCGTGGGCCATAGAAATATACTACTCCATTCACATGCCACGCGAGTTCAAGTCTTATTCTGTGCTCATTTGAGCGTTTTAACAATTAATCTGTCATTTCTGTCAAAGATAACTATTGGCGCCAAAATTGACTTGTATTGTCAAGATGACAGCTGACTGGGTGGCCGCTATTTAATTTAATTTTAATGAACATGATTTGGTTTGTTTAAATAAGGGACCATGCCTTGTTATAAAACTTAAACAGGTCTACGATAATTATGTACAAAAAGATACGGATTCCAGTAGCAGTTAGCATAACATAAGAGAATAACATCATGGTCGACGACTAAGTGGGTATAACTCAAGTACGAAAGCCCTCGGACACAGCCGAAATGTTTCATCACTCGACGAGTAACAACAGTCGTTTAGATGTAAAACAAATAAGTGAATGGCGTACTTGGCGTGGAGTGCGTGCGAGCCAACACCGAGCATAATGCACAAGGAGATTGAAAGAAAGTACTCCACACGAGAGCGTCCAAGCCTCACCGGAGTGCAATAAGCGACGCCAGTCAACGGGCTCGTTCATTAACTCTCACTTCCTTCATAAATAATCTAGTGAACATCATCCCTGAACAAAAGCGCGCGTCACTGGTGCCAACATTCCTACAACGAAGCACCATAGACTAAATAGAAAACTATAACCAATAAGCCTAGTAGCCAGTGAGGGATTGTTAGTTATGTAACGTTTTATGTTTTTATAACGGATCTATAAACAAAAAATGGTGGGTCGTGAGTGCGGAGAATCTCGGTACGGGGGAGCATACATCCATTTCAAAGAATAAACACGAGGAAACGCTCTCGATGTATAAATAATAAATAAAGTGTATATTTCTGTGTCGGGAGCGTACGTAGACAAAGGCCGGCCGCTTGGTGGTGCAAACAAGAAATGTTTATTCTTCCGTCATTAAGGCTGAGTGTTGACTGGGCTCTGCCTAGCGCTAATTTCAGGGAGGTCTTGTGACTTCGCCGATTCACTTGTCACCTTGTTGAAAATGAGATTATTGCACTTACTCTTATATCATAGCCGTTCGTAATTTAAAAAAAAAGCAGTAAAAAAATCAGACAATGCACAGTGTAGTTACAGCGATAAATAAATTTAAAAAATAAATTAATCACAAGTCACAAATTCATATGCTCAATAACGTCCCTAGATAGAAAGTACACAGATTTTGTTAGTCTGCTAGTCTAACAGATCTCATAAGAAACAAGGAAATCAAAATTAGTGTTCTGCAATAGGTACTAACTAGCGTTTACCTACGGTTTTGCTCGCGTTATGTCGATTTTGTCAGTAATTTTGTTCTTGATAGAAAGTAGCCAATGCTGCAGCTAATGCAAAGACTTCTGTATTTACAATATTCATGAGATGGGATTGATATAAAAAAATATATAAAATTAATTCACTCCGTTCGAAAATCGTGGATAGCGATTAAAAAATATTTCTTGTTCGAGATCTAAGTGGCATTTTTTTTAAAGAAACCACAAATCAGCACTGGTTGACAAAAAATCTCCTTATTTGACATGACAGATGACATTTACTATTCTATGCAATCAGTCTTGAGTTTTGTATCATCGCATGTGTTTTTATATAATCATTATAATATTTTTGGATGGCAGCACATGATTTTGCGCAATATGTTTTGTTTTTTTTAGCGTACAAGAGGCTATTTGAAAAGAGGTTTATGTATTTTTCTTCTAAAAAGACGATTATTTACGTCAATGACATTTCGACAGTTATATTTCTAAGTAAATCCCAATCAAAATGTCGATTCTAATATAATGGTTTTGTTTCAGGTTAAAATATGGTTTCAAAATCACCGCTACAAATGTAAGAGGCAGGCTAAAGAGAAAGCGATGGCAGAACAGAATCAACACAATCAGGTCAGTGGAAATGTATTAATCAGGCTAACTGCAGGTTTACTATCTGTAGACCTGCAAAGACAATACACATATGCTTATAAAGTACTACAATGGCCGATAAGTAAAGTTGTCGTGATCTAAAAAAAAAAACAATACCGTCTGGGCCACAATTAATGGTCGGGACTGTCATTTAACATCTGACATTTGGTATGTCAACAAGAATCTTTTTAAAAACAGAATGATGGTTGTGTTTATTAAATGTTAATTTTAAATTGCGACATTCATTGTTTTTACCGTTCTTTAGCCTTCGTTTTAACGTCAAAAATTAGTTCACCCGATGCTTGAAATATTCCTTTAATACAAGGAGGTTTTAAAAATGAATTTATGAACTTGAAAAACTGTGAAATGCAGCTCGAAGATACATGGTTGCGTTGCATACATATGTAGTTGTAATTAAAACCTAGTACGTTCTTTTAATTATCAGATCTCTTTGTCGACTGTAGTCCTGCTAATTATAGAGCGAGTCTATAATTAGCAGGACTACAGTCGACAAAGAGATAAGAACTGTGTTGGCGCGGCGACGCAGCCAGCACTGAAGACCGACAGACGCGTGAGCCGGGAGCGCTGGAAGCGGGGTTGAAACCCCTCCACGACAGCGATACAATTTGCTTTGACGCGACACGATACGCACGACAATATACCTTCATATTCGTCTCAATTCACATGTATTTTGTAAACTAAAATTATGAGCTATTGTGACGCAATATTATAAGTCTGTCGTTTTCTTTAGTCTCCAGCAACATACAAACAGTTGTTAGAGAAAGAAACAACTGTAATGAATTATGTTACTGTATGGGTCGATTACATATTTCTTTCCTAAAAGCCTTTTTCGCAAACTAGGTTGGGGTCGGTTTCAAGTCTACTACGATACGGCTAAACTTCGTTTTTTTTACGTGGAGCGACCGCCATCAGACCTCCACAACCCAAGTACTAGGCGATATACATATAAGATGAAAATAAAAAGACGCTTTTCTGTATTTTTCATTAATGCTTGGCTGCTATTTGTCGTAGCGTGATGATATAGAGCCTGATATATAGCGATATAGAGCGTGATGATATAAAGATGTCTAGAGCCTTCTTAATAATATTAGTTACAGCTTTATAATATTAGTAGGTATATAGATATATGGATTAGTATATGAATGTATGTAATAAATAGGATAGGCAGTAGATTTTTTTGTCTCATGTTGGAGGAATTTAACTAATCAAATTCAGTGCTGGTACAGAAAACTTTCAACCAGAAAAACATTATAACAATCTTCTCTGACTTCAAGTTGAATCGATTCCTTCTTAAAAGGCCAGCAACGCGTTTGTATCTCCTGAGTTGCAGACGTTCATAGGCGGCGATGGTCACTTTCCATCAGGTGACCCGTCTGCTCGTCTGCGCCCTCTAAGATAAAAAAAAAGATTATCATCAACTAATCGCAGCATATGCACGGAACCAGCGAAGCAGTACTGTACAAAACAGTTTTTGTTCAACTAAGTATTCTACAAGTCCATTTAAATTCATATTCCATGTTCAAAACAGCGAGGCCCATTTTTCACAACGTCTTTCACATTTTATTAATTCAAAGTTCCTCACAATGCTAATGAATGATGAATATTAACGCGTAAGCGATAAAAGTAGTCGCTGACGAAGACAGGGGTCTGCTTAGCCCCCTGTTTGCAGAGGCGATGGACTTTACCCACTTGATAGGAATCTCCCGCTGCGTTTCTCAATGGGTAACAAAATACGGGACCCGCACTACCCAAATCTGGCAACCCCATGGCAATTAGAATTATATTTCGCGGGAATGCAGGGCTGTGTCGCGAACTCACTGATCTGGACATCCTTTTTTTGTTATTTTGCTGTAATTGTAAGAAACTATTGAGACGATTAACAGGTTACAACTTCATGTATTAATTTCTGCAGATTTTATATTCATCTTACATTTATCATTAAACAATAGTAAACATATATAAATCTAAATTAGTATTTACAGAGTATTAATATTTCAAGAGCGATCACGTCGTTTGGTTTTTACAGACACAAATATGAAAAATAACAGAAGGATAAAATAAATTCCTTCGAGGTTCCAAAGAATTACACTTTTACATACTTACCTACTTACATACTTTATGATAGTCTTATTAATATTAATTATATTTGAATATATTCGAAGTTCAAAACGAATATTCGGATTGTACTAGCCCTGTGTAAGTTTAAGAATTGGCTCAATTTATGAGTAGTACGAAGCGTGACCGGGGCGGAGGCATCTCAGCTTGATTGTTAAAATTTGCCTCATTGGGGCATCGCCTGCACGGCTACCTACTGTGAATGTTCTACCTTACAGTTACCCGTGCCCAAAAATATATACATAATAATTTATTAGAAGCTGAAATTTCAGATTCGTAAAAACTATGTATTGCATGCATTTACCAATATTTTTAAGATTTTTTAAGACAGTATGGTAGAAATACAGCCTGTATTTAGTATGCAAAATAACTTTACAATTAGTGGAAATGAATCGGATTTTTACTAAACAGTTTGTTAATGAAGGCACTACAATTACAGTTCTCAATTTAATCTTATCCAAACGGAATACGCTAATGCAATATTTTCTTCACCAGTCGTCATCATCACCCCGACGAGTAGCAGTCCCCGTCCTCGTGAAGGACGGGAAGCCGTGCGGCTCCGGAGAGTCCTCATCTCCGGCACATAGCCATTGCGCCACACCCACATCGGGGTACTCAGCTCCGCAGCCTTCGCAAGCAGCCTGTAGCAATCCCTTGGTCTCGTCGTACCGTCAACCGACCGCTTACCAACAGCAATGCTCAGGCTACCTGCCCCTACAGGGCCGAGCCTGGTAGAAATTCCCACAGCTTTATCATGAGACAATGTTCAAGGAGGAGATGTACTTCGATTAGGATTTACAATTTGTGGTTTGATAGTTTAAGAGACCGAACATTGTATATCTGTGCTTTATTTTAGTAATGTCAAAGAAATGTTGCAAGGTATTAAAAACATCCCCTAATCAGTGTTAGTAATTAATAGATATGACATCCTAGATTTTTTTGTCAATTTAATTTAAATTCACAAATCAAACCACATATCTCCTTTAAGAACACTGTCTTGGGTGAAGCGTCGCTGGTTGCAGCAGCCATATAAACTTTTATTAGAAAAAATAGTGAATTTCAAAGTGTTTATGTGAAAGTGAACATTCCGATGATCGTACGGGAAGTGGGAACGTGTAAATAATTAGTTATAGATTTAGTTAAGCACACGTGAGGATTTGAATTGATTCTTTGTGATATTTTCTTACTGTCAAGCAAAAGAAAACCTGAAGAAAAAAATGTACTCAATATTTTACTTCACTGTTTTATGTTTTTTAGCGCTTTTTAATGTCTGACGTAATATTCTGTTAGATCGTGGATCGTGCATCAGAACAAAGGTAAAAAGTTTGATTTCATTTCTCTAAGCAATTTTCAAAATATTTTTTTGTTCAGGTTTATACCTCAAGAGTGCCAAACTTCCAATTTATAAAGTCTCTGGTTCGTATAGACAAAGCACAGTTGTTTTGCTTATAAATATTTAAGAGCGTTTCACCACCTAACCTTTAAAATGTGTCTATACTTACTAAAAAAATAAGTGTCATAAGTGACAGCAGGCCATGTTTTAACTGTAGGTACATTGGAAACTGCTGTAACTCGAGTCTCACAGAACAGATAATCTCTGAAATAAGTTTTTAATAATTGGTGGTGAAAATCTCAGTAGGTTCATTTTTGTAAATAACTGATAATGAGTAGATAATTGTTGTGTGAATAGAAGATAATTTAAAAAAGAGTCAGTGTTTTGCGTGTGTAGATACAACTTGTACATAAATAGTATTCATGTCCCGTGCAATTTTACAACTTCTCAAAATATGACATGGCTTAATGGAAAGATACCTGCGTTTATTTTTTAAATTATTTCTTTGATACATAATTATTTATTTTTAGCACAATTTCTAGAAAAATAATACAAATATCTTTACAGATAATAAAAAATATTGTTCTTTTTCTTGACAAAAATAATATAATACAACGAATTTATAGTTATAATGAGCCATATTCACATTCTGTCAAGTTTAATCTAATTATGATCTTAAAATTTTCATTAAAAGATCCGCATATTTTTGTCATTTCATTTAGTTAATCAGAAAACATTTTTTTTTAATAATTCTAGCACTATTATTGCTTAATGCGTACTTAAGTCATTGTGGAACTTTTATTTTCAAAAAAGGAATATTGCCAATTGATAAAATGTAAATAAAAAAAATTAAATTAAAAACTTTTTTATGAAACTGTCGGCGGCAAAGCAAGAAGATGGCGTAACTTCTTAGCGAGAAACGACAATGAATGAAAAGATAGCAATAAGAAAGTAATTAAAATTAGATTAATTCGTCAGTTTTAACAAATTGGAGATGTAATTAATGTTTTTCATCTTAATTTATATGTTCTGAGAAATTAGATCGATGTATAATTTGTAGGTTTAGGGGAGTTAATAATTATTATAATGATTATAAATAATAGTAATAACGAAATGGAATTTGTAACTATAATGAAGCAGGCAGGTGTAATGAATTTCGATTTATAAAATTAATAAAATTAATGAGTTTTATTTTTGGGTTTCATTTGAACCTTCTGCCTTTGATGTTCGAGTGGTACCCTCAGTCATGGGGTCGAGTCTTCAGGAACAGATAGTTATATCTAGGTGGAACACTTGTGACTCAAGTACACGCTTCAAAGAGAAGATGTTGACGTCGAGTTTTAGAAGTTCGCTTTCAAAGGGATAATATTTTTAGGCACTCATGTTTATTTCCTTCCAGTGATGTAAAAGTACCTTTATCATAAAGATTTTTTATAAAATATAGCAGATTTGCCTCACGATGGATAAGGATTAAGGCCTTAGTCATATTGTTGCTATTCTTCTTTTAGTTTATGATGAATTCGAAGTTTAGCACACCATAAACAATATTTCTTTTTTTTCTGAATGAGCTCTATTTTTTATTTATGTTAGAATAGTTATCTATTTATCCGAAAAGCGGTGTTATTAACTAATAATGTCACCAACCTCATGGTAAGCATTTGCCACAATCTAAGCACAAAGCGCTGTAAAAATAGTCGGTAGGTACTTGAAATATTTTTCAAGTTGCTCTCTCGCTCTCAATAACAGAAAAACAACAAAGAGATTTTCTTTGGAGTTCAGGTATTGTCAAAGGTTTCCATTTCGTTGAAATTAAATTATAAAATAAAACAAAACAAAATTATTACGCAATGTGTTGATAAAATTATTAAAATTGTGTTAACAATCATACATACCTAATAGTAATCAATGGAGACCTTTCATTTCAAAACATCTTTAAAGAGTTTATGTTTAGAAGATTGTTTCTCCTTTTTAATTGTAGACAATTAGACTAGAGCAATGTTAGAAAAATGGACAGTGTCAAAGTTGCATATAGAAATAGGTAATACGGTAGTAAACATAAAGAGGATTCCCGTATTTTTCACAGGTAAGCACAATTTTCTAAAGCAACAAACCTGAGAAACAAAAACCAATCACCCCTCGAACAATAAAGTAACAAACGTTTAGAATACAACCCCTGTTAAACGTAAGCTCATTCTTATTGTCTTCAATATTCCCAGATTACGCCATAATCTCTCATAACTCGTATTACAGTTTATTCCGCATGGCAACACCGACTTTGAACGTCAGTCACGACCCGCCAAAACAAAATAATAACATCGCCGCCATCACCTTGGAAAGAGCACAAGTATTCTATATTGGTTCTTGCTTTTGAATCTACATGCTTAAGAGTTAGAGTGTATATTTCATTGGCTTTATTTCGTACTTATTTTATTGTAGTTCAGCAGTAGTTTCGGTAGAACAAAAGCGGAGGACGAACACGTGCGGGTCGTTACGTCGTACGCTAATAAAATGGTGGATTAAGCCTAACGGACAGGTGAGGGTTGAAATTGAAAACTTTTGGCCTCTCGACGCTTTTACGGATACGGATTTGAGTCAGTAATTGGTGTGATCGAAATTCCTACAAGAATTATGGACTTTAAGCTTTTAGAAGGTTTAAATGTGTTAATACCTACTTAACTAGAAATCGCAGGTTTGAAATAAAAACTGAAATAGAATTTTTTGACAGGCTTGTTAGTCTAGTGGTTAGTGACCCTGACTGCTACGCCAGAGGTCTTGGGTTCGATTTCAACCCAAGACAAATAATTGTGTGATGAGCACGGTCACTTTTTCTGTGCCTGGGTGTACTTTATCTATAATATGTATGTATTTAGAAATATATAAGTATGTTAATCAGCAGTCTGGTTACCATAGTACAGGCTCTGCCTAGTTTAGGATCCGACGGTCGTGTGTAAGATATGGCAAAATATTATATGTTATAACTGAGCAATAAATGCATAAAGGGCTCCCCCTTTTCTAGGCATAGGCCTATGTCCGCATAGAGCCCTATGTCCCCTATGCTGGGCATAGGCCACTGCCTATGTCCAGCAGTGGATTGTTATAGGCTGTTGATGATGATGATGATGATGATGAAATGCATAAATAAATATATGACGGCGGGAAATTTTATAAGAATTTTGCACTGAACTACAACTGCACGGATGGCGTAGCGGTTTAAACGGTCGCCACGCCCCTTACTACTACGCTGAGTGTTGCGGAATCGATCCCCATATGGTACGACACTTTGTCTGATCCACAACTTGTTGTTCTGAGTCTGGGGTTTCTTTTTGTCTGTTTCATGTATGTTTGTAAAGTCCCCCGCAACACAGGTTAAGTTAGGTTAGTGGCACTCCGGGAGTGCCAACAGAAGGGAAAACTTGTTTTTTATTATAACAGGAAAAAAAATCGATTTGAAAATTTCCGACATAAATGTCTGTGTGGTACGTATACACACAATATATGTTTAATATACTTAAAGTATCGATGTATTTCAACCCAAACTCAACTCTCTCTCGTGTAAACGGGTATAATGTAGATACTAATGTAGAGGTGTCGGTAACGGTAACAGTGTCCCAGTTCAATGTTTTTTCCCATTTCAAAAAATGCATTATTTTATTTGTTGTTTAAAAATGCCCAACGCGGCATAAGAAGATAAACTCCCTACATTCTCTATTTAGGCGACGTTCGGCACACGCGGACGTCGCCTCCTCGCGGCTGGCCGTTATGGCAGGTGGAGGGGAAAACCCGTCCCGTCCACCCGCGGCCACACTCAGGGCGACGTGAGGCGGTGATAAGCGCGCCTCCGCCGCCCGGATCGGGTCCGAGTGGAGGTCGCCTCCCGGGCCTTCTCCACCGCCTCCTTCTGCGAGATGACGTCTTCGCAGAAGGATGCGACCGCGGTAAAACATCTGTCGCTACCGGCCATGGAGCGTATGACGGCCGGTAGCGAGAGATCCTCCCCGATGACTGCAATGAGGACCCGGCGCTGCGGCGCCCAAGCCGGGCAAATTGCCAGCGTGTGCTGAGCCGAGTCCTCACTGCAATCGCAGTGGTGACAGGCGGGACTCAATTCCCTCCTAGCGACCGAGTGCAGGTACTTCCCGAAGCAGCCATGCCCGGAAAGGACCTGCGTCAGCCGGAAGGAAAGGGTCCCGTGCTGCCGCCCTGCCCACTCGACGATAACCGGCTGGAGCGCCTCCACGGCGGCGAAGCCAGCACGTGGAGCCTCCAGCCGGGACGACCAACGAGCCATCGTGGCTCGGCGAGCGGCCTCACGCCACTCGATTATCTCTTCGGGCGGGGGCCGACTGCCACTATCCGCCCGGAAACCAGCCGTCCGCCGATATACTTCGGCGAGCACTTCCGC